GGTGGGGACCGTAGGCCACCATCTCTGGGGAAGCCTGCGACCCCCGGAGAAGGGTCCTGGTGGAGCGGTACTGGTGCTGTGCTTAGATCGACCACCCCGCCGCGTCCTTGAGCTCTTCACGGGATCAGCTCTGGAGGGGGCCGGTAATGGGGGTGACTGCACCGGTGGTCCCCTGCAGCACAAGGTGGGGTACAGCTGCGGAGGGTGCCGTCATTTTGCTCTGTGCTGCGTACCAGGGATGATGCCGTTCCTCCTAACGGTTTTCCCTTCCTAGCCCTGCACTCTGACCTCGGCCAAGTCTCCTGCTCCGGTGCCTTGTTCTCTAAGGAGGAGCCAGAGGGTCCCTCAGCGCCGCCGGTGTTCCTAGCAGGGAACTATACAAAGTTGATGTTTTGTAGGTAAAAGAATTTGGCAGTAAAGCACAGCCTGCCAAATGGAAGCAGCACAAGAAAGCAGGCAGAACAGCCCATCAGGATGCTTCTATATTTTTGTTTTACTATGAGGGTGGTGAGATACTGGAACACGTTGCCCACAGAAACTCTGGATGCCCTAGCACTGGAAGTGTTTGAAGTCAGGTTGGACAGGTCTTTGAGGAAACTGACCTCATGAAAAATGTCCCTGCCCGTAGCAGGGGGGTTGGACTAGATGGGCTTTAAAGGTCCCTTCCAGCCCAAACAGTTCTGTGACTCTACATACTGTAAAGTGTGTTTATCATTCAAACTTAAAAGTACTTTTGGAAAAATGAGGCAATGCATTACCAGTAGTAGTAAAGCCACTCAGTCACAGCACAACACACAATGAGCATTCATTCTGTTTAGGAAGATGTTTTTGCTGTCAGAGTAATTGTGTTTAATTTGAGCTGTTTTGGTAACTCCTGAACCAGTAGAAATGGTGCTAATAATGGGAGTTGAGAGGCCTTCTGTTAGCAACAGCATTGCTAGTAAAATTCTCATTGCTCCCTCCATCTTTGGAAGTTGGTATCCTGACATCTGGAAAAACATACTGAGATTTTTCTGCTCGCTGTGTGTGCATTCTTAGGTTTTTTGGACAAAAAGCTACCTGCTCCTTATAAATGGTGTAGGCTTGATTTTAAATTAATCAATAAGTTGAGCAATTTCCTTCAAGCATTTTGGATTTATATCACCTTTGAGAACAGCTCTCTTGGTGTTATGGCTTTACATCTTCATGCCTTTGGGTCATTCTTCTATAATTTTCAGTATCCTGGAATCTATTTGCTTACCCTAGGCTTTATGACTAGGGTAATACATGTGGATTGAACGTAACATTTTTGAAAGCAATAGGAATAACTGTTTCCTTAAGTAAATGGTTTATTGTGGAGGCTGTGTTGCCCCTAGAGGAGTATAAGTGTGTTGATGTGGCACATAGGAACATACCTTTTCTGTTTGTAACTTGTTCAAAAGCCATTACTGATATTATTGATCACATTTAACACATTAGCCCTGAACTAATGCTGGGATGGAGCTGAAGTCTGGCCATTTTATTGGGAGCATGAGGAAACTAAACATTACCAAAAAAGCATGAATTGCTTTCTATTAAATTTAAAAAAAAAGTATAGACTACCTCTGCCTTCTCTCTGTAGGAGACAACACAGCCAAATACTCATCTGAGAGGAAGAATCAAGTTGAAGGTGAAAGATTATAATCAAAAGATGTTGGCCACTTGTACTTTAGCACCAAGTGGATGTAGAGTCTGTGACTTTGGATTGCTGTGAGGATTAGGAGAGAGGAGGTCCACTTTGGATTCCCTTGTTTTCTAAGCATCTAGATTTTTGTAGCCCTTTGGAGCTTTTAAGGATTAGACTACAGTCTCTAGCATTACCACAAAGACGCTTCTGGGATTGTTTTTTCAAACCAACACAGAGGGGTAGCTTGGGAAGAACAAGGGGGAAAGGTAGTGCTAGAAGTGCCTTCTGCTCTCAACTCCTGCCCCAGTAGCACTGGTCAGCTGGTACCCACTTCTGTTCTCCAGGATTTGCCTTCTTCAAGTGTCTACTTTTTTTCTGGGTTGAAGCATCCAGGAAACAGTTACAGCATCCAGGATATTAACTGGACATTGTTTGCCTTGTGGTGGAGGGTGGTGTTCTGCTTCTTGGAAGCAAAAGTTAAGTTGAGGAGATATTTGGGAAGAGTGCTGGTCTTGGTTAAGCAGTTAGAGTGGATGAATTGCTGACTTTTTCTGGGAGTAGTGCAAGCTGCTTTCTCTGAAAGGTTCACCCTCAGCCTAGTTAGACTTTTTGCCTGCGGGGGGTGGGGGTATGGCAGACAGAGCCAAAATGTTAGGAGATATGTGCAAGTAGAGTCAAGTACTTTCAGAGTTTTCAGGATTTGATTGATGAATGAAGAAAGCTGAAATCTGGCAGGGACTGTTCTTCTAAAGGTATTCCAGCATAGCTTTTGGTAGGCTTGAGCCTGTGTAGCTGCCTTTTGAACTTCCATAAACCTGCAGCATCTGCAGCGTAGCATGAAAGGGAATTCCATAGACTGCCATCTGCTTTATGAAGAAGTTTCTCTTTCACTTGTTTTGAACTTGAAAGTTCCAAGTACAGCCTTTGATAGGTGTCTCCTTCTGTTAGAAGAAAATGTGATTTGTTATTCCCTATTCAGTTTTGTCCTGAGCTTGTAGACCTGCGCTGTATCCTTTCCTCAGTCCTTTTTCTTCCATCCAGCAGAACCCCAACTATGGTAGTCATTGCTTGTGTGGAGGCCACTCTGGCTTTTGGTGTGACCCTTCTCTGTAACTATAAGTACAGAGTACCAGTAATTTTACTGTATCATTTTTAAGTGGATGCACTGTGAGAGGAAAAACCTTCATGCAGTGTTGAGGAATAATGCACTGTGGACTTGCACAGTTAAATAATTATGTTCTTTGTCTTAGTTTTTTTATTTTTTTCTAACAACTGCTGATATCCAGTCTATTTGTTTACTGTTAGTGAGTACCTAGCAGATGTTTTCATCAAGCCATCTGATGTAACCCCAATGCCTCATTCCGGAGGGTTTGGCCTTTTTTTTTGAGTGTTGTAAATTCACTTTATTTTGCTTTTTTATTAATTTCTCAGATAATGCATTTTTGCAAATAGTATCCAAACTTTTTTTCATATGTGTGTGTGTGAATGTTTCAGGAAGTGCTTCAAAGAACACCGGAAGATTTTCTTCCAAAGACAGAAGGTTCAGTCGAAGAGATGGATACCTCTGATACCCAGTGGGGCTGGTTTTATTTGGCTGAGTGTGGTAAATGGCATATGTTTCAGGTAAATATCTATGAAGCTGTATTAGCTATGATGGATTCCATACATCAAACTACCTATTGCTGAATTTGTCTAAATGCACTTTTTCATTTATTCTGAAGTCTGATTCAAACAGCCATTGCTCTGTTAGCAGTGAAGATATTGAAAGGAGCTTCCGAACAAACCCACATGGTTCTGTTTCTTTTACTACTGCAAAATTTAACTACACAATAGACTTTGCAGGTATGTATCTTTTCATAGAGTAAATTTTAATAATAGCAAGTGCGAGATACACCAGTTCATTTGTTCATTCTGCAAATTATTGTCCTCGTATGTAGTGCAAAACTTGTGACTGGAAATGTCTTCTTTACTGGAAAGTACATAGGAGTTTGTAGAAGCAGCTACCCTCTTACATTTTCAAGTGTAGTTTATTAATTAAGTAGCATGTCTTGTGTAGTAGCACTCCATAGTGTTACCACTGCTTTCCTTAGCTGTAGGTGGTATGTAGCGTACATCTATGAGACTGGGAAATTTGAACCTTTTTTCTTTAACGTGCAACTCTTTGTAAGATTAAAAAAAAACATCTTCCATTCAGAGTCTAAGAAACATTGATATGAAGGAAGCTTTTTATTTTCTGCAAAATACTGGCATCAAAGTGATTTCATAATTCAGCAGGTGCTTGAAGCCAGTTCTGTTGTCAGAATAACAAGGAAATAGACAAAAGGATTTTTTAGTAGATTGTGAAGATCTCACTTATGCCATAAATTGTAAATTACAAAATATGACAGGATTCTAACGTACATAGCTCATTATAAATTAACCTGTCCTTTGTTCAAAGGTGTGTTCTAATGACTTGGTTTTTGGGAGTTTTGTTTGGTTTTTGTTTTTTTTTTGTTTTAGCTTTTCCATCCATAGATTATTTTCTGATTAAATTACAAAACAGCTATATGCTTAATTAGAAGCCTCTTCCAAATTAGAGAAAATAATATTTCAAATACACACAGTGGGGACTGGGTAAACCAGTGATGTACTGGGAGTAAAGTAGTAACAGTACAAGGAGTCAAGGAGTTTTATGTTTACTTGTGTTGAAATGTCTGTTTGGAAAAAACCTTTGTTTAGCATCCCGAATGAAAACACTACATGGAAATAGTAACAATTTTTAGGTTACTGTTTGTAGATCATGATGTATTGCATTAAGGACAGTAGTAATACGCTTAGTCATCCTAGTTGTATTATAGTCACTGGAAGTTTTGCCAGTGTTGTAGTGGGGCTGAATGTTAGATGGGTATTTTAACAATAAAGGTTTTGTTTGTGTAATATTTGTGCATTTTCACAACTCATAAAAATGACTGTGATTCTGAGCCCAGTATTAGGAAAATTTATCAAAAATGCTGATTTATTGCTTGTTGAAATAGAAATTCCTGTCAAGCAACTTTGGGTGTAGTAACGTTATTTAAAAAAAAAAAATACTTAAATGTTTCATATGCCATAGATGAATTGCAGAAACTTTCATCCTAACTCTTGTTTTATGCTCAGTGATGAAACAAACCAACCTAACTACCCTTAAGCAACGTCCAATTAAGCGAGCTCCCTTTTCTGTCAGCGCTTTCAGGTAAGGAAATAAAAAGAAGACTCATTATTTTTATTTTATTCCTGATTATTTGAGGTAAAATGAAACAAAAAGATATTTTGTATTTATTGTTTATATTTATTTACTTTTTGCATCAAACTATTTGAGAGGTGAAGCAAGGTTGGAGAGCTAGTCAAGTGAAGGAGGACATTTTGGAGGAGAAGAGTGACAGAAGAACTTTTAGTTTATTTTTTATCTTTTTCTGAGAAAGTAAGAAACTTGTAGTGGGAGAGGCAAGGCATACTGAATACTGATATCCTTTGGCAAGGTTCTTAAGGCTGTGCCTGATTTTAGCCTTTGGAGTCCCTTCCTGTAAATACAGGTTGAATCGAAATTGCTGTGGTGAAGCAACAGCAACTAATGGAGTAGATTGTTCCATTGTAATAATGACTTCATAGATTATTTAGAAGTAGTATTGTAACAGCAAAAAAGATTGAGTTATATTTTCTAGCCTATATGTTTTAATCATTGACTTTAAAATTATTCAAAATGACAAGAAATTGCATTATAACAACACGATTGGTTTATGAGTCTGTCTAATTGCTTTAGATTGCAAGTTTCTTGCTATTTGATCAGTCATTAGATGTAAAGCTGTGCTGATATGAATCTGATTCTCACTAAACAATCAACTGATCTATGTAGTGATACTAGTACAGGTAAAATTGACTATGTGGAATATGTAGGGTTTTTTCACCAAATAGTTTCTTAGAAAGAATTTTAATTCTGAATTGTAGTCTGGTTATACTTTCAAAAAGAAATTTGACATCTGTAATAAGAAAATGTGATAGCAATCTTTTTATGCTGACATTCAATAACGCCTGTTTTTTTGAAGTGTCAGCTTTTTTTCCCAATGGATATTTGCTGAACAGTGCGTACAATAATGTGGCAATTCTCTTCTGGTTTTTCGTTCATTGAATAATTGCATTCAGTTCTCCATGTGACAGCACCATTCTTTACTTTCAGGAGATTGCTTTGTTTTAGACCCAGTTTTAAGGCTTGAAAGCTGCTATGTATTTCATGTATATGCTTAAAATGCCTTTTTTTGGAGGGTTTTGTGTTTTGTTTTGTTGGTTTTTTTTAACAAATTCAACTGTAATTTTCAAGTGTGTATTTTTAGTATGCTGCTTTTAAATACTTCAAATGGGGGATAAGTTTCTGGAGGCTTAGGCTAGTTGTGGTTTCTGATAGTTTGCAATGTTCAGGCTATGTCTGCCCTCTCACATTTCTAAAGTAGCGTTGCTCTCCTGATGTTGTGGACCTTTCTGACCATCACTTCTGATTTATCTTGTGTATTTGTTGAGTAGATGGTGTATTAAAACTGCTCATTACTGTGGTTTATTTATAATGAACTAAGCCAGAATTTGAATACAAAATAAGACCTTGCCTGCTGACAACAGCCTTTGTTTGAATTAAAACCCTAAGTAGTTTTGCGTAAGTTGTTTTTTTTTTTCATACTGTATTGTTCGGAGCAGGAGTTTGAGAGGAAGAAAATGCCTCATGTCTTTGATGTGATGTGTTTTTACCTTTTTTTTGTTTGAAGTTTCATCTGTGAAAATGAGGCTATCCCTTTGCCTTCACACTGGGAAAATGTAAATACTGAGGAGCCATACCAGGTAAGAGTTGGCATGCAATTGGTCAGAAATATATGATAATGAAATAATGCATCCATTTGAAATCGTACTAACCTCTTTTTTTCCAGCTTATTCCATTGCAAAAGAAAACAAATGAATATAATGAAGTTTCTAGTCTCTTTGGAAAAACAATGGATAGCCACCGAATTAAAAGAATTAAGAGAATACAAAATCTAGACTTGTGGGAGTTTTTTTGCAGGTGAGATTATTTCTAAAACCAACAGTCTTAGGATTGTTAATGGAGCAAATCTTGAAGGCATGCAGCAGAAACATGTTTAATTGCTTTTGTTATTAATGAAAATATCTGTTACTTTATATATTCTTAAAATTTTCTTATTTGTTATTCCTTTGCATTCAAAATTTCATTTTCAAGACTCCGTAGCTTCTGCAGGTGCAGAAATGTAATACTTGTAGAAATGCATTCGATGTAGATGTAGCACGGATAAGACTGATGCATTAAAGATAATCAGGATGTCCATGTGCTAGATGCCCATGATACTTAAAGTGAAGTACGGAGAAAAAAAAAAGTTTTTTGTAATATAATTTCTTGACAAGCTTGAATTATTTTAATTTTTAGTGAATGAAACAAATTAATATTTGTGGCTTGCTTAATTTCTCAACTTTATGAGACTTAGGACAGAATTAAGTGTCCAGTTAGCACATATTCATGGAATTTCTTTAAGTTTAATGTGCTACAAAAGCTTTTTCTAAGTTCTGTGCTTTTCCCTCTTCATACTGTGCCAGCCTGAAAGAAGGAGAAAGTGCAGTTTCTTATTTGTGTAGCAAGTCAGAAGGAGTCTGCATCAGAATAAGTTTTAAAGATGTATTACAATATTAAACCAACTGAACCAAGTTAAATAGTGAGGAAATAACTAAGCAGATGTATATTAAAAATTGCTTGTTACATGATTTTTCAAAAGATATGTAATTTATTGTTAATTTAAAGCTATATTTTGAATATGCGTAAGGAAATTAATTTAAGTTCTTGGTTAAGGGAGTTAGCCTTCTCTTAATTACGGATTTATTTGGTTATATTTACCTGTTTATGTATTAAGGCTTATTTGCTTGGCCTTGTGTTTCAACATGTACCTTTTTACAAATAAGTTTCTGTAGAGGTGTATGTATACCATCTTCATACCAATCTTAATTCTTGAGATTAGGAATAGCAAGCAAACTTCAAACTAAATGTCCTTTGAGTGTCCAGTGTAGATGGCAGAGAGGGGCAAGGGAAGACCTTTTTTGCTTAGCTTTGGAACTGCTGTCATTTGGAGATTGTATGAGTTTTCCTGACTGGCCAGTGAGTAGAATTCATGGTTTAAGAACTCTGAATCTGTGAATGCAGTGCTAGAATATTCTTAAAGTACAAACCTGAGAATGGGAATTAGAATTTCATACGTCAAGAGTATTGCAGGATCTCCATATAACTAACTACTTTTTTGGAGTACTTTTTAGTATCTCCACGGTGTAAAAGTATATGGAGAAAAGCAACTTCAGTTTTAAAACCTTTTTCCTGTATCAAAAAAATACAAGTAACAATGAAAATTGCTAGAATTACTGTATGCAATTGAGGCTTAGCTGCTTTTGTTCTAAGGGTAAAATACAGCCTTGGAGTAGATGGACTTACACACACTGGTGAAGAAATTATTGCCTTGTAGTATATTACAAAGAAGTAGCTATTCCAGCATTTCACATTCATTACAAGTTTTTTTTGGAGTCCCATGTGGGAACCTGAAAGTAACAGAAGATGAATCTCAGTTGAGCATACTTTGTTTTATGCATCTCAGTTTGAAGTTGTAGAGGAGTACAGCAAGTAGAAAACGGGGTTTGGTCAGTGAGATTGCTGACCATCTTTAAAAGCAGTTTATGTGCTTACCTATGTACAAAGAGTATGTCTCCGGGTATTTAGTTTTGCTTTAGGTTTCTTTATTGAGTGAACTGGCTATTTGAGAGCCTTCTGAGTGGTGAATCAACTAATTTTGTCTTACTGAATTAGCTTGTCACTGCTAGTGGAAGGTGCTAAGGTGATGTTTTTCAGAATAGGTGGACTTCTAGATTTTTGTTCCAAATCAACAAAAAGTCCTGCTATGGCATTTCTGCATTTCCAGTGTGCTCAGTGTATTCCACTGCTTATAAAGAATACTTTTAAACTTTTCATTGATAAGGTCAGTGATTAAATTTGAGCATTGTTTGAATGATTATGTGCATCATTGTAGTGGTCAAAACATGTTTGTCTGTTACAATAGTTCCCATATTAATGATTATTTTAAATTTGTTTTATGGAACTGGTCAGAGATAGTGGAGGACTGTTACAGAACGTTTTTAGACAGTTTATTATTCACCTTTTCTATAAATTTGTCCTGTTCCTCTATTTCAAGAGAAGTTACTGTAGGCTACCTTTATACATTATCAGACATCAGCAGCCGGCAGTAGAGGGCTGCTGACTGAAATATTACAAATGTTCAGCATTACTGGCCCTTAACTTAGACGTGCTGCCTCACACAGGTAGTTTTCTCAAGATGCAGGGAATCAGCTCCTGCAGTTTGGTGAATTGCTAATATAGTGGAACTTGAATGTCTGGAACCTCTCTGCCTCTGACACAAAATGGTACAATTGAGATTATTAGTGAAACCTCCCAGATGCCCTTGATATTCTACTGACATAGGTATTTTAGTTTGCACTAAATGGAGGAGAAAAACAGAATAAATATATCTTTTAAGCTAAGTACTTCAAGATTTACACTTCTATGAAATGTACTTTATAAATAATGCATAATTGCAATGTAATGCCATTAATATGTTAAGGAATCTTTTCTGCCTGTCTTTCACTGGACCTGGTTGATAGGGACTGGTTCCTCAGCCTACATCTAAACTGCAGGCCCTGAGAAAGCTTCCCCAGTTCAAGTGTGTGCTCCAGTTTTGGGCAGATTGCTTAATTCAGTAAACCTAAATATGTGCCTGATAAACCTAAGTATGTAGCACAGTGCCCCATACACAGTGACTTTTATAGGAAGAAAATTCAGGTACGTAGACAAGAGCAAAGCCATGACAAACACAGACTTGTTTTTGTCTAGACAGTCAAGGGATCATAACTATGAACAGCTTAGTGATTTAGACATAGCTGCAGAGTCAACTGCTTCCTGGATCTTAGAAAAACACAGCTGATAGGAAGTAACTTTAAAAAGATTGATGGAAAATATATCTCTTCTTTAATTGAAGACATGCTATGACCATCTGCCCATTAGGCTGTCATGTAGGCTCACCTGTAGTATAAGGGGTTTTTTTAAAATTCTAAACCAATGAAACCCTGTCAATGCACAACTTATTTCTTCTAGAAGTTCTTTTATGAACCATAAAGTCAAAAGATTATGAAATGAGCATGTTGAAGTAATTTTACCTAAAAAGTTAGGTAATAATAACATTTTTGCTGGTTTACCTGGGTAATTATACCTTATAATCCACTTACTTTGTTGTCACTCCCACTATGCTATGTAGGTAGGTGGAGGAAAAAAAATGGGAGAAAAATGCCTTTCTTTTAAAAATGCATCAGCAGAAAATGACCACCACTGAAACTAATGCCAAATGAACAATGTTGATAAAATTGGTTTAAAATACCTTTTTTCCTAATCTTGGATTACTTCTGAGAATAGTCTGTAGCATCTGAAACTGTGTGATTTCTAAACATGCACCTGTTTAAAAACTAGAATCATCTAGACACTTGTGAAAGTGGAATGTATGGGGTGTTTTAGATCTGTCCCCTCTACAGAGTTTTCAAAGAAGTGACTTGATTTGATTGTACAGATGTTTGTAATGCTGTATTGTGTGTTCTCTGTAGGAAAAAGGCTCAACTAAAGAAGAAAAGAGGTATCTCAGCTATTAATGAGCAGATGCTGTTTCATGGCACCAGTAATGAGTTTGTAGAAGCAATATGTATTCATAACTTTGACTGGCGAATAAATGGGATGCATGCTGCTGCATATGGAAAAGGTAAGTAAGTAACACACAACAGTTTAAGTGTTCCCTACAGTAGTTCTTTGTGATATACTCCTTGTGTTTGTCCAAGAGCTGTTTAATACAGCTTTGGTTTTACACTAAGTGTAATTAAGAATGTTAGAATGCAGTAAGGAATGAGATTGTTACAGCCGGCTGGTTGGACCAGGGAGTGTGGGGAAGGGATACCCAACAAAGCAGTGCTGGTCACGAGACAATCTCCCTACTGAAACATTCCCACTAAAAATATTTGGTTATGTTGCCATAATCTAATGATTTAGGAAAAAAAAAGTGCTAGCGAACATAAAAGAACAGACATATTTCATCATCCTTATACCTATGTCCATGCTCTAGTACTTAAGCTATCATGATAAGAACGTAACCTGATTTTTTTTTTATTTGAAAGGGACCTATTTCGCAAGAGATGCATCATATTCCAGTCGTTTCTGCAAAGAGGACATGAAGCATGGAGATACTTTTCAAATTCATGGTGTGAATCTGCAGCCTCACCTGATTAGACCAGATAAAGTAATGTTTCTTGCTCGTGTATTAACTGGGGACTACATCAATGGTGATTCAAAGTACATGAGGCCTCCTTCAAAAGATGGAAGTTTTGTGAACCTGTATGACAGCTGTGTGGATAATACCTGGAACCCAAAGATCTTTGTTATCTTTGATGCCAACCAAATCTACCCTGAGTACTTAATAGAATTCTGCTAAATTTAGAAGAAGCTGAACTAAATTTTGTCTGTGTCTTTTTGATACTTTTGTTCCTTTTGTAAAGACAACAATATAAAAATGTGAAGTGTGAAAGGAGAGAGGTGACAGAAAAGCTAGCATATGATTATGGAGGAAGGAAGCTATTAAACATTTAAGAGAGACTGATGAACTGTTTTTAAAAATCTCTAAACTTTACTAATGCATTTTTCAAAGGTAGAGACTATTACAAATTTGAAATTGCTTAGTGAGCTTTAAGTACATTGGGCATTGGTTACGTTTTCAAAGGTAAGATTTATGTTCTGATTTTTTTAATATATTACAAGTATTTATTTATGTGGTAGAGATATGCCTGTAATATAATATGCATATGGTGAAACTAATCTTTTATAAAGATTATATGTAGAACATAAACATCACCACCACCAATAAAACCCCAGGGGACTTGTCTACATATTTGTGTATGTCTGTGTTCTGTAGGACATATTGCTTTGTGTTTGGAGGTCTCTCAGTTGGATTCTAAACCTATAACAAAAGTCCATCTGGAGAAAACTGATGAAGGAGCTATAAAATTCACTGAAACCAGTATGTTTAGGTACATTTTACTGTAAGCATCAATTATAAACTTGCAAAGCTTTAATCCTATACTTGGAAGATTAAAAAAACCTTGCACTAGGATTTGAACTTTGATTTTTATGGAGATGATGCCCATAAGCTGCTGTGGTTGTTAATTGTTTGGTCTGTAACTTGAGCTCAGTGCTGGGATATCAGAAGTGCCATGCACCTTTCTGAGTTCTTATTCCATAGACTTCCTGCCCTCTTGTTATAGTATGTGTGTGTCCATCCACTTACATTTATGCAGCTGTGCTGCTGTGATTCTGTCCTATTCAGGGTTTAAGAAGCACTCAGTGTTCGTGTACTTGTAGTTACTGAAGACACTAAATTAACTTTACTGGAAACAATACAGTTAAACTAACAATGAAAGTTTCAGAAGATGCCATCCTTTAATTTTTAAACACTTTAATAGGAGGCTTTCAGTAACACTTGTGTAGATCATGTTTTCATAAATGGTATAGTTAGAGTATTTTCAACATGTAGAACGAGCGAAAGAGCTACGTGAGTAGCTAAATACATGAAGAGCCTGAAGAAGGGGCTGTTACAATGAAATGCACTGAAACGTTAAACAATTTGCTGTGAAATTGTGTCCCTAGTGTTTTTTGTTAAGGGACTTGAGAAGTACTAAGGGACAAGGTCTAAATGGAAGCCTTTCCAGGCTACTTCCTTGACTGTGACCAGTAACAAATCCCTATAGAAACAGTACATAATTATGGCAGATATGGAATGATCTGTATTGTTCTGTCATGGAATTATTAATGGACTTTTGGGATCAAAGACTATGTTTAAAATCTGTTGTATTTCAGAGGCACTGTTGGCATGACCAAGTCTGCTCAAAAGGATATTAAACCTATGGAACTGGAAGCAGAATATGACTACATGTCTGGCATCATAACTGAGGATGCAAACATCTCTTCCTTCTCCTTAGTGTTGCTGGTTACCTGTCAGTGGATCTTGCACAAGTATTTTAAATTTCATGACAGCTTTTCCTTTTGCTTCTGTTCCAAAACCATTTAGGGCTAAGATGCATTTCCCTTTTAGTGCAGACACTCTCCTTCCACATACCCTTAGAGATAATTGTCCCTCATAACATGCCCTGCAATTCTGGTCCCACATTTGTTCTATCTCGGGGTTTTAGTTGGAGAAGTCACATTTCATTCCTATGGTAATGAATGCACATAGAAGCATCGTTTGCACTGAGTTTTCATCCTGATGCCTGGACAAGAGACAGCCATGGTGAACATGAATACTGGAAACTTGCAAGTTCTTCTGAGTGGATCTTTTAATTTTAGATGTCCCACTTGAATGTACAGAAGTAGGAGAGTATTTGATGTAGAGTGGAATAAGCAAGAAGGCAATTGCAGTGTAACGAAAGGAGGGTATAAAGTATGGGAAAAGGATAAAGAAAATAAACTCTGCCCATTCAGACATTAATCACTTCCATAGAGTACGATAAAATGAGTTTCTCTTCCTTGTGTGCTTTGAGCTGTTGTGAGTTTGATACTGCTGTTATGTTAAGGTTGGCAAACCAGCTGGTCCTGGCTGTTTGCACAGTTATTTGCAGACATTTCAAGATTAATTTACATCATCTACTTTTAGAGTCCTTTGCAAAAGAGATTGTGACTCCACTGCTAGAAACAAGTCTTTTGCTGTGCTCTTCTCAGCTACTGATTTGTTAACTAGAAATGTCATTAATTTCTGTATTTAATTTTGCCTGCCTATTACCTTAGAGTGTCTCTGAGGTTCTTTTGTTTCAGTATTTTCCTTTTTAGAGAAACATATTTTGCAATTAGGGATTAAAGGAGAATAAGAAAGGATAAATCTGTCAGCATTTGGGGAAGCTGCTTGGTCCATGTGCTGAGGGTGTGCCTATCAGGAGGGCAGATAGTGGAAATGACATTATGTTTCCCATCTGAAACTAAGGACAGTTACATCAATTTCCTGTTTCGGTCTGCTAGCCAATAAATGCCAAATTTTACTTAAGCGGAATGAAATCTTATTAACACCAAAAGGAACATCCTTAATGTTTCTTCTCTTTACACTGGTTCTCCACTTACATGGTTTTCTTCCCTTTGACTAATAGAGCAGTGTAATATGTAAACCAGTAACAGGTGGCGAGTACCTGACTCATGTCCTGGTTTCAGGAACGATATAAGGCAACATAAGGCCTTAGCCTGCTCTACTCCCTCTTTCTGTTCCCATGCTCTGCTTGCATTCATGTTATCATAAAATGAACCAGATGAAAGATCTGGATCTTTCTTAAAAACCAGTAATTTGGAGTGGGAAAGAGGGTTCGGCTAAGTTACAGTGCCATTCAGTTTTCTTTTCTGGTCTATAATATTAATACATAAATAATTGATGATTCCAGTAGAGCTGTCTACTGTTAACAAGATGCAAAGGAGAATGGGAGAAGAAAGTCAGGAAAAAATGTAACAGGAATGGCAGACCTGTGTCTTTGGAAGTAGCTCCAGTTTATGGTGCATTGTGCATGAAACAACATCAGCTGTAATGAAAATCTGCCACCTCAAACTTTGTCAGAAGGCCATCAGGCTAAAGCAGCCAGGAGAGACTTGAAGGGCAACAGCTGTATTCATCTGTGAGTACATGACCAGTGCTGTAGTCACAGTAGGCTTTTTAATGTAAAGGAGGAGTCCTTAAGAAGGATCACCTGATTACCTAAACCATACACAGAGAAAGACCACAACAGCTGCAATAGCCTTGTATAGGAATTGGAGTGGTAGTTATAAAATGTGCTTGTCCTTCAACCTACTTATTCACCTTTCTATGCCTCGCTTCCCATTTCATCTCTTCTTTTATGTTTACAACACACATGGTGTGCAGCTTGCAGCTGAGCTTCACTAGCACCCCCAGATGCCCTTTGTAATACACTAATGCAGTTTATTGTATTAAGTGATGTGTTTAGGTTACAGACCTGATGGTGACCAAGTCGCTAGTACATGTAGTTTTTTTCCAGTCAATATCTGCCTTTGGGCTGGTGAAGGTTGTCCAGTCATAGCTGAGAACAGTTGGTGGAAATTAGGCTTTTAAAGGCTGATTGGATATTGGGTACACTATGCTGTTACCTATGTATTAACCAGTGAGATTACTTTTAAAGACTTTTTTCTATAAAAGGGCTGGCTGACACAAATGCTTTCATCATAGACTTTTGTGTTAACACAACTGTTAAGAATATTCCTAAGAAAGCACTGTCAACTAATTACTGGATGTATATGACAGTGACTTAAATAGCAGCTGCAGGCTGATTTTTTTAACTTTTTTTTTCCAGTATAAGAAATATGACCCAAAGCAATGGATTAAGACAAGGATAAGAGATGGAAAACTGGGGGAAAAAATGATAAATGGGAGAAAAATGGTTACATAAGTGAAATAGGGCATCTGTCTGCATGTATACTGGGGCTGGGGAGTAGAAGCAAGAAGGGGAAAAAACATAAAAATATTACTGCTTTAAATCTGTCCTTTAAAATATTTAAACTAAATTTTCATGCTAATGATCTTCCTGAATGTTCAGCAACATTATGCATTCCCAGGGACAGAGTATTGGATGGAGAGTCAGGGAAACTGTAGTCAGATTTTCGTCTCTTGGCACTTTGTGATGAGGGCAGACTTGCAGAAGTGGTACATAAATGATGCAGAAGTGTCAGAAATGCCCAGAGAGGTTGTGGAGTCTCCTTCTCTGGAGACTTTCATAACCCACCTGGACGTGTTCCTGTGTGACCTGGTCTAGGTGATCCTGCTCTGGCAGGGGGGTTGGACTGGATGAGCTTTTGAGGTCCCTTCCAACCCCTAACATTCTGTGATTCTGTGAAATGAGAGACGTAGCTACAGCACTTCTTCTAAGCAGTGTTGTGTGGAGCATAGGGATAGCAAAGTACTGCTGTCTACTATAAGCATAACTGGCTTCTCATGGGGCCAACATGCTTCCTGGAGTATCCCCACACCAGTGACACTGCATACATCTTGTCTTTGCATCTCTTCCGCGAGTGTGTGATATAAATTATATTGTACTTAACTGATCACGCCAATGTGACAAAAGGAACAAAAATGCTGTTTTCTGTTAATGAATCGGAGGAAACTTAACACTCACACTCTTTCTGCTTTATGAAGCAATTTATTTCTGGACAGGAACTGTCTTCTGTTGTGTGCGTATACCAGTTATTGCAATAGATCTCGAGTTTTCTTGACCTCTAGCTGCTATGGTGGTAAATATGCCTGATTTCCAATTTCTCAATATGAATTTCTCTGTATCTTTGTAAAAAACAGGTTCCGATCAAGCATGCTCATAAAGTCGTGTGGTTTTAAGTTTCCCTTTGATGCATAAAATCCTTCACTGCACAGTATTCAGTACTCTAGTTGAAAATTGCATTAGAGAAGACAATATATTTCTCTTCATAACAACTTCATTTAAACTGAAGAGCCCTGAGCGGAAGAGGTGTGACTAACAGAGCTCTCAGCTATCAGTGCACTCCAGCTGTTTCCCGGCTGGAA